GGGGGGCGGCTGGTTTGGGAGGGAATATGGGTGTTCCGAAACCAGAAGTGATTGGCCCAGCTGGGACCAGCCGTGAACCGCTGCACAGCTGCTACATGAGGCGGGGGAGGAGGCCATGCGTGGCAGCTTGCTCAAGCAGTGCTGCTCAGCTGCTGGGAGTGAGACTGCCGGCCCGCGCTGGCACGCGCCTGTGCCCTGCAGAGGAGATGGTGTGTGATGCATGTGTCAGGCCGGGGGACTTTGGAGAGGAAGACGGCCCGGCCACTGGGGAAGCAGCGGCTGCGGCGCCACCGGGCAGCAGGGTGGCAGGAGGCACGGCGGGCGGGCGCGGCGGCGGCGGCAAGACGTGCGGCAACTGCGGCGCGGATGGGGCCAGCAAGCGGAAGGCCACAGGTGGGCGCGGGAGGCAGGGAAGACACTGCCTGGCGGCAGCGATGAGTAATCAAGCGCTGCCCAGGCATGTGTGCTGTGAAAGCCACTCATCGGCCTGCCGGATCGTGCCCACTCAACTACCCTGCAGGCCTGGTGGAGTGCACAAAATGCGCCCGCTACAGGCAAGGCCACGAGGGCGAGGCCCGCCCAGAGAAGCTGTGGGCCAAAGACAAGCAGCAGCAGCGGCCGCGGCAGCAGCAGCGGCAGCAGGGGAAGGCGGCTGGCACGCCCAGGCAGGCGCCGCAGCGGCCGCGGGTGAGCGTGGGGCTGCCGAGCTCCTGCACACAAGCGGAGCGCCCTGCAAGCTTGGGTGGCTCTTGCCCCCCAGCGGCAGAAACCGCCTCTCGATCACGCTTTTCGATTGATGCAGGCCCCTGGCAGCGGCGCGCCGCCGCCCAAACCCGCCATGCGTGCCGCTGGCGCCGCACGCTCTGGCAGCAGGGTGGGCGCAGCCGCGAAGCGCGGCGCGGGCCCGCCCCGCATCTCTTCCCAGGTGCAGCGGCGGCTGGAGCGGCTGGTGCGCGGCGCCAGGCGCCTGGGCAGGCCCGCGCTGCCACAGGTGGAGGCATGGGCAGGAGGGGCCAGTGGCGGCGGCGGGGATGACAGCGACGGCGATGAGCGCTGGGAAGCCATGCAGCAGCTGGTGGTGGAGAGGATGGTGGGCGACAGCCTGGCAGGTGGGGCGCCGCCGGTGGCTGGCTGAGCATGGGCAGGGCGCAGGGTCGGTCGGTGGGCGAGGGTCCAGCATGTGACAAAGTAATTCGGGGCTGCGCATTGATGGGGCGGAAGGGGCTTGCCGTTTTGAATCCCGAAACAATACAACCCATGCGGCCGAATGCAGAGCACCTGATGAGACTGGTGCGCGGCTCGGATGAGCAGCACGCCAAGGCGGTGCATCGCTACGAGGCGCAGGCGCTGGCGTGAGTGTCGGCAGCGGGGCCGGCGAGGAGAGGAAAGGGTGGCAGGGGGCAGGGCAGCGCACCTGCAGGCTGATGCGCCGTGCGCCTAGCAGCGGGAACCTTCCAGCAGCGTGCCTCTCTGCATGTTGCTTGATGCTGCACTGCCAGCTGTGGCCGGTGGGCAAGCTGCGACAAGGGCAGCTGGGGCTGATGCCACCAGCCAGAAGGTACTACTGTACATCCCATCCTGACCGCCCCGCCCGCCTGCCAGGTGTGCAGTGACCGGCAGGCCTTGGCGGAGGCGGAGCGCAGGCGGCAGGCAGAGGTGGCTGAGCAGCAGCAGAAGCTGCATGCAGCGCAGGCCGCCAGCGCAGAGGAGCAGGTCAGGCGGCGGGCGGCGGAGGGGATGGCGAAGGCCATGCTCGGCCAGCTGGGCGGCCACGCCAGCGCAGTCACTGTGGAGGCTGAGGCGAAGCTGGCGGCGGCGGCGGAGCGGGAGCGCCAGCTGGAGGCGGAGGTGGAGCGCTGGAAGGCGCTGGCGCAGCAGCAGCTGCAGAAGCAGCAGCAGCAGCAGGCGTGGCAGGAGGTGCGGCAGGAGGAGCGGCAGCAGCAGCAGCAGTGGCAGGAGGTGCACCGGGAGGAGCAGCATGGGGAGGAGCAACAGGCGCCACCAGCAGCGGAAGGGGCAGGCGCTGCCAGCACTCTTCGAGATGGCCTGCCAGCCGCTGCGGCGGCGCATGTGGGCATGGCAGCTACTGTGGAGGGCGATGCCGAGCCTTTGGCGGCCATGTCGCTTGGGGCAGCAGCTGAGGACAGCCTGACACCGAAGCTGGCGCCGCCGAGGCACCCCCGGCGGCGCACATGGTGCACACGGCAACCACCGAGGCAGCAGCAGCAGCCGTGGTGGGGGCCAGCTCCGCCCTGCTGCACTCCCTGCTGGGCGCAGAGCACAGGGCTGCCTCGGGCAGCATCCTCCCAGCCGCGGCAGCATCGCCGCCGGTGTTTGTGTTTGGCGGAGGTGCCACCGCCGGCACTCCCCTGTGCACAGGTGCAGCCGTAGTTGCAGCACCAGCGGCCGCCATGGCAGGCCCAAGCCTGCTGTCCCCGGCCGCCAGCAGCGGCCTGGCGCGGCAGCGGCTGACCACCGGCCGCGCGTCTGGAGGCTCCGTGGCACGCCGCAAGTCGCTCCGCAGCCGCCCAGCCCCGTCAGAGGTCGGCACAGGGCCAGGCGCCTCCGCCGCTGCATGCACCCCAGGTTCTGCACAGCCAGGGGCCGGCCTCCTGCAGCCGCGGCAGCGGGAGCAGCGGCAGTCTCTGGGTGGCAGTGGCAGCGCCGGTGGCGTGGCAGGCGCTGCTGCGGTGGCTGCTTCGGTGGCAGGGTCAGAAGACCTCTTTGGCATCTTTGGAGGCATAAACGGCAGCTGCAGCGCAGGTGGCGGGACCTCCATGCTGCCCTCGCCGGGGGCAGAGGCACGCCCCGGCGCCGGCTCCGGTGGCGGCCAGGGTGAGTGCTGCAGCAAACTGCGCCGCACCTGCCGCTGCCTGCTCTTCAAGTTGGGCACGTGCCCACCGCGGCTGCTGATAAATGCTGCTTGGAGCTGCCACATGCCTCGACCGCCACTTGCTTCCCTCTCCCTGCTCCGCCTGCAGGCACCTTGAAGGCTTCGGCCAGCCCGCTGCCCTGCAGCCCCAGCACCTCGCAGCATGGGTTGGCGCCAGGCGCGGCGGCAGGCGCCAGCGGCGGCCGCCCCACGCTGGCAGCCAAGCTGCGGCTTGCGCTGGGCAGCCAGGAGAGCTGCTCGCAGGGGGGCCAGCTGCCAACCCAGGCACCAGCCCAGCTGCCCAGCACCCAGCCGCCGGTCGTGGCGGCAGGCGCAGGCGCCGTGACGGGCACTTCGGCCGCAGCAGACCTGGAGGGGCTGAGGCAGCACCTGGGACAGGCAGCCGTGCTGGCGGGGCAGCCTCCCGGCGCCAGCCCGGCATCGAGCGGCTCCCCAGGGCTAGGAGGCGGCCCGGAGGATGCGGAGGCTGCCATGCGTGCTGTGGATGATATCGCTCAGTACCTAGCTGACTGAGGCAGCCTGGGGCAGCCTGGGGCAACCAGAGGCACACCTGTCAGACGGGAGATCCACCAGACAGGCTGAGGCGGCCAGGGAAGGCAGCAGCTGAGGCGGGCGGCTGCAGGTGGACAACTGGCGGAGGCGCGGGTGCTGCGGCCGCGGGGGCCCCTGCCTGGATGTGCGGCGCACAGGCGCCGCCATCAGCCAGCGCAGACAGCATTCGTGCATCAGCAGCCCTCGGCACAACCTTGGCTTGGGATGTTACACCAGGAGCACCGCTCGTGTGTACTGTGGCCGGGGAGCAGGTGTGCAAGGTGGTGGGCGCAGGCGCGCAGGGAGGGCAGGGGTGGCGGGAAGTGCAGCGGGCACCAGCCGCGATGCTGCGGCGCAGACAGAGCGAGGGTGTGAAGGAATGGCGGCTGGCAAAAATGAACAGTAGCAAAAAACGAATTTGTCAACGAACAGTGCTTGCATACTTAGGGCGAGTGTGAAAAAACACGGGCTCGGAGAAAAACGGCAACACTGTTCCCCGCATGCGGAGCGGGCCGGTGCGCCCGCTGCCGGCGCCTCGAGCAACCAGCCAGCGCTACAGCCGCTGCCGCCGCCTGCTGCTCTTCACCGTGGGGTTCGGCACCGTGGGCTGCCCAGTGGCGATCCACTGCCGCAGCATCAGCAGGCTGAGCGCGGGCTGGTCCAGAGGGACCATGTGCCCCGCGTTGGCGACCCGCACAAATGACAGCGGGCCGACGCGCTTGAACGTGCCGCCAGCCCAGGCCTGGACCGGGGCTCTGCGGGCGGCGGGGAGCGGGCGTCAGCGGCAAGCGCAGGCTGGTTGGCTCCAGCGGGCGCCGCGGGAGCTCGGGAGGTGAGGCGGCCTCTCCAAGTCGGGCGCTGCCGGGTGCCGCATCAACCATGACGGCAAGGCGAGGCGGCATGGAGGCATGGAGGCGGGCTGCGGCGAGGTGGCATGGAGGCAGCATGCTGCGAGGCCAGCAGTGCCGCCACTCACACTTTCCAGCGGCGCTGCCGCGACCAGATGAGGCCGTCCAGCCACTGCGCCGAGGCCAGAGAGTTGCACACCCAGTCGTCCTCCCCAGAGAACACCATGACAGGCACGCCTGCAGCCAGGGCGGGGGATGGCGTCATCGCAGCCGGGGCCAGTCGCTCCTGCTGGGCATGGCCGTGCTGCAGGAGCGCAGCACCGTCGCTCGCACGGCCCAAGCTCGCCGCCTCGCAGCCCGCTGCCCCACCACACCACGCCCGCCTGCTCCTCCGCCAACCCCAGCACAGTGCAAGGCCGCACGGCGTGTCCTCCCCCCTCGCCCCTCGCCGTCGCGGCCGCCCGCCAGCCGCGCCCCCGCCGGCTCACCGTTGTCTACCAGCGCCCCCACCAGGTCATCATAGGACACCGTCATGTCGTGCAGCAGGCTCTGGTAGGGCTGGCTGGCACAGGCCTGGTAGTCCACAGAGGCGGGGGCCCCCAGCCTGGCCTTGTTGGCGGCGATGTAGGCCTCCACCCGCGCATCCAGCGAGCGGTAGCAGTTGTACAGGTCGGCTGTACCGCAGTCCTGGGCGGTGCTCTGCGGAGGGCGGGGGGCACGGGGAGAAGAGAGGGCGGGCGAGCGGCAAGGCGGGAGGAGGCAAGGCATGCGTGTGTGTTCCGAGTGTGTGTGGGGCGGGTGGGGTGGGGTACGTGGATGTGTGGGTGGGTG